GAAAGCTTGCCCTCGAACTCGTCCATCTTCCTGCTTCCGGTTTATCGTGCGCAGCTGAAAAAAAAAAAAAAGAGTGGTGCACGACCTCGCGACAGGTCGGGAACGGCGACTATTCAGGACGCTTAAGAGTCTACGGCCATGCTAGCGACAATGTACTGAGGCACAGTGGTGCTTTCAGCCAAATGCTAATATTAGCATGCTAACATGGTCACAATAAAATGCTAACATGTTGATGTTAAGTAGATATATTTACCATGGTCACCGTCTCAATTTATCATGCTGGCATGCTAATATTTGCTAATTAACACTCAAAGCAAAGTAAAGCTGATGGGAATATAATTCAGGTTTTTTAGGTTTAGAAGTTGAAATACTGAAATAATATGTAGTCTTATAATAAGTCTTAGTCTTATTAAATAATTGTAGGTAGGCTTGGAAGCCTACCTACAATTATTTATTTTCTTTTAATTTTTTCCTAACGTTCTCTTGCTGCAATGCAATTTACTTCACTAGTCTGCCATTTATATTACCTTGCTGAGGTAATATAAATGAGATCACAAGGTCAGATATTTAGCTGGTAGATGAAACCATATGCAGCATGGTGTAAAAAAAAATTACATGTGAAAAGGGTTTCAAATATTTATAGATTCTCAAGGCAAGTTTAATTTAACTTGCCACTCACTAAGAGGAATCTCAGATGTGGAAACATAATTAGCGGGGTGTATTACTTTAAGTGATCCTGTCGTTGAGCGTATGAAACGTATTCAATTGGATTTTCAGGTTTCCAACAGTATACCATGGCAGGCAAAAAGAGAAACAAGAGCTGGAAGGTTATCTAACTGATTAAAGTGGACAGAGTTTTAAAAGTTAGACTTCCCTTTTGAGCAAAATCTGAACTCCTGACTGACAACTAAAGCCTTAGTGCAGTTACTCGCCCTACATGCTCTTCTCCCAGCACTGTCAAATGCCGCCCCTCACCCACAGTCTCAATAGACATCCACTCTAGTCCAAACAGTACAAACCTACTTGAGATGTGAGCCACCTGCGGGATTCATGGGGTTGCAGAAGTGGCCCTCCACAAACTGAGGATTAGCTCTGTTGAGAAGGGCTGCTCAAGTGCCGATGTTGCCTGATGGTGATGCCTAAGCTCTGGGGAACTCACACTACTCTCCAAGAGACCCTTTGGTCCCGTAGACTAATCTGCCACAGTAATCCAACCAAACTCAAAGACTCAACTCCTCAATTCCCACCAACATCATCTAAAACAAGTGGTAATGACTCTGTGAATGAGGCTTAGCTCTGTGTAAGTGACAGCATTGGCCCATCAGTTAAAAAATAAATTACTGTTTCAGGCTGCGCACTGCTAGTCAGATATCTGAGTTTCAGCACTAATACAAAGACTACATATTTGTAATAGTAGCTGCTACTATGGACACATTTCGGTACTCATAAAAGTATTGAGGTGCAGTTTATAAATGTGACTGTTTCTACTCCCTCAGGATTGAAAAACCTTTTTTTTAAAATCTGAAAGAGGGTTGGTTCAAAGTCCAAAAGCATATATATATACATATATAAAGAGTCTATGTTTAGTGTTTAGTCTTATTTTGCATTGGCCTATTTTTGTAAAGTCCTTTGTAACTACTGCTGAGGGTAAAATAATGAGACGTTTAAACTTAGGAACTGCTGTAATGCAGTTAAGTCTAAATCTTGTACATTAAGGAGATTATGTCTCCACAAGCCTTCGCTGTACAAAAATCCAGTATTTCTCAACGCGATGGATGTTTCACAACACTGCAGGCACCAGTCCCACAAAGAATGCCACAGGAAACATGGTCGAGCAGTATGTGGGTCCTTCCCTTTTTGGGCGAGATGAACCTTCCCATAGCTCAGCTTATTCTTCTCAACCTTTCAACTGTTTTGTGGAGATCTCTGGTGAATGCATGCACACAAAACTGATTCGTCACTAATTCAAGAGTGCAAATGTCTCATGATTAATACGGATAATCCTACAGTGAAGACCATTTTTCACTTTTTGTTTTTCACTAAACGTCTGGAAATGTTTTCAGCTTTTAGCATGAATCTGATCTGTTAAAACTAAGATGCCTCTTTTACAACAAGGCAGCTACCAATAGTTATGTTAAGTATGCTCGCGCCTGTCAAAGCCAGACGCTTCTAGCTTTACAAGGACTCGGCTGAGACATAACACCAAACGTCGGCTTTGGATGAGAGGTGGTTTCAAAAATAAATAAAGCCTTAAAGCTAAGGAATTATAAACATGCTGCCATGGAGAAAGAGGGAAGGCCCTCCAAACAATTTGTGGCATGTAGTATTTTCAATTCTTTCTCTGCTTGACACAAAGACGAGTGTCAAACAACTGAGGAGACGAACAGGGGGATGACAGAGAGGAATGGAAAAAAGAAAGAGAGCATTGAGGTGAGAGTGAAGAAGACTGTGGGGGAATTTTCCATTCACAGAGGTCTGAGACAGACA